TATAGTCATTAACGTTATTGAAACTGACAGCTGCTATACAGCTCGTTGAGAAATGAGGTTAAGTTGGTCGCTATAAGCTACTCCCTACGTCCAATGTGTCAGAGCCAACTTCGACCACGTTTTTATTTGAACGCTCGTTATAAAGGGTATAAAAATGGTAATTATCTAGGAAATTATCTGGTATGAGTGAGTTGTAAGGTAAATCTTTTGAGTGTTATTATCGTGCTTTGTAAATAAATTTGAAGCGAGACAATGGACAATTAAAAAATTGCATTGCTAATATGGCAATTAATAAGAATTTAAACAGAAACCAGCATTCTTCGAATTTCTACAAGCTCTGGTATAAGTTGAATATAACCAAGAGCGATGCATCCTAAATGCACACCACAAAATTCTTTTTAGTGGTGCCCCCACTCCATATATATTTTTTCTTTAAATTTCAGTTCAGGTAATGAGAAACCAATTGTTGCCAAATGATGGATTCGGCAGTTTTACTCGTATAAGAGATGTTGACACGAAAAACCAGACTATACATAAAAAAATTTCATTCTAATTGCTAGTCTTAAAATGTTTAGAAGGGTTTAGTTTCTTAGTAAGCCCCATTCAATATTTCAATTTCGTAAATCAAAAATAAAAATGACTTACTGAGGAGATCCTGTTGCGGTATCCATTTCATTATTTTGAGATTACTGGGTGTGTTGACAACTTCCTTATCATATTTCCATAATATGTGATATGGCAACTGTGAGAAAGTTTTCAAAATTACTTCTTTGGTGGTGTTAGAGAGTTGTTTACTGCTAATGATGGACCCCAAACTGAAATAGATAACTCCGTTCGTAGCACTATCTAGATACTCCTGTAGTTCCTGAAAAATGTAAACAGTTTGTTAGACTTCTAAGTTGATACTTTTCTCTATATGTCTATAGAAACTTAAATAAACAAATAAGTATCTTGTAGGTATATAAAAAGACAGGTTTAAAATGTGTACACATATTTCTTTAGTAAAGTATGGTTTTGGGGGAGTTCCCTACCGTATTCCAAGCAGAAATTTTCGTGATAATGCTGTGAGAATGTACGTAGAGGTTATAAACGTAAACTCATATATATATTCTCTGATAGTCAAGCTGCAATTAAAGCTTTGGGCGCACACAAGATAAGTTCAAAACTGGTGTGGGATTGTTTACAAATGCTGACTAAACTGGCCACCAACAATACAGTCAGACTGTGTTGGGTGCCAGGGCATAAAGGCATTTGTGGAAATGAGAAAGCGGATGAACTTGCTAGGAAGGGATCCGAGACAGAGTTCATTGACCCGGAGCCCTTCTGTGGCACATCTCCCAGTGTGGTTAGGCGGGCTCTGGGCAAATGGACTGAGACAGAACATAGGAAATACTGGAATTCAAGGCCTGGACATAGTCATTTTAAGGAGCTCATGGAGTATCCTTTGAAGGAAAGAGCGAATGATTTACTGAGCTTGAACAGAATCCGGCTCAGAAGAGTGACAGGACTCATAACGGGACAATGTCACTTTAGGAAACATCTACATAAGCTAAAGCTTGCAGACAGTCCGGTCTGCCGAGGATGTGAATCGGCGGATGAAACTTCTCTGCATATCCTGGGCGAGTGCCCGGGATTTGCACGTAGCAGAATGGCGCACCTTGGGAGACCCTATTTGAAACCCAAGGAACTGAGAGAAGTGTCAGCAAGGAAGCTTTTGGACTTTGTAAAAAGGACAAAACTACTTGCTGAATAGGACTAGTAGTGGGATGCACAATAGGCCTAATCGGGCCGCAGTGTTATGGGACTTATTAGGACCAATCACTACAAGTAGAAGTAGAAGAAGAAGAAAGTATGGTTTGATGAAAAACTGTTAGGCCAAATTAAAAATAGTTATAAGAATAATAAACTGGTGGAAATTGTTAAACTTAGGGATGTTAGTGGTACTGTAGTCTGTAAATATACAGTGTGGAACAGCCAAATGGAATAAATTCAGTATCTCAATTATTGTGCACATTATTTATAAAAAGTCCCGACACATCCATTGCGGATTCTGACATGACATCTTGCGACGTAAAAATTTCATTCCCAAATTCAAGTGGCAGTTGCAACCCCTAAATTTTTTGTATCTATGAAATTCTATTATAGATAATAAACCATATATATAATTTACAAACTATATAGTTTAGTTATTATTCATTATTATTTATTTATATTTATATTATTTAATTATTTCTTCAACCTTTGTTTATTTATTAGTGAGTCTACACAGTTAAAAAAATATCAGCATGGGAATCACCTGTAGATTAAATTTAAATCATAAAAGTAATCACCCAAAATTAATGTTTCTCACTACATAAGTTTAAAAAAATTATAATTTCAAGACTTTTTAAAAGTAAAATAAATAAATTCTTCTAATTTCTGAATAGATGCAAAACGGAGTATTATCTGAAACAATATTTACACTGATAAACATCTGATAACAGTTAAACATACTTATATGCTTAATTTAAATAGGGATTTCACTGCTTCTGTAATTGTTTGAAATTCTTTTGTAAATATACATTTTTAACGCGATAAAACTGTCTACGAAATAAATATATATTTCCTTACAAACGTCTTAATTATACGTATGTGACTGTAAATAACATAATATTTTCTACGTTAGTATATTAAAATCGACTTAAGCTATTCTAATTTGTCCTAACTAAACCGCAAAATTTAATCAAGAGCAAATGATGTGAAAATATGTAACATGTGTTTTTTTTTTGGTGTTCGATAATTTTGTGCAAAAAATAGACACAAAATGTAAAATATTCTTAAGTGGATAAAAGACAATTAAAACAGGAATGCAATACAAAGTTTTATCCATAATCACATCGTAATCATATTTGTGGAGAATTATCGGAATTTAATAAAAAAATATTCGCACGACTTAATATTTCTTACTAGTACTCAATAAAACGTGGTAGGTTTTGTTATACCTACAGGTTGCTATGGTACGTTGTTTATTATCAATTATTTAATAAACTGTTCTATCTGAATTTGGCAAAAATGCAAGGAAGTAATTGGCTGTTTTTGGAGAAGCTCAACAAGAAATTTTCCATTTATTGCCAGCGAGATCCAGGGAACATTACGAAAAAGTGTTCGCCGAATTTAACGAATGGAGGAAAAAACGGAGAGTAATGACAATAAATGTAGAAATCATACTATCGTATTTTTTAAATTTGAAGAATAAATATACAATTTCATTTATGTGGTCGAAGTATTCGATGTTGACTATACTATAAAGGTCTACAAATATATATATTGTTACGATTATATGTGTGTGCTATATTATATGTTAGCGCCAAAATAAAATTTTATTGTTGTGATATTAATTTGGTAGGAATGGTGTATTGTGTATTGTATATCTTCGCCCTACCTAGCTCTAGACTCTATCTCCGTAGTCGGTTCTATGCTTTAGCAAGAAACCACACCAATCACAGCTATAAAAACAAAAGGTTTAGTAATAAATGAATTTATTATTTTTTTGTTCTATATATATGTCAAAATTTGTCACTTTAAACTCTTAAACACACTAGTCAATATTTTGAAGTTTTTCACAATGTTTATTAAGAGGTTATATTGATAATATCGTTAAATTAACTTTCATGTAATACTGGTTGCATACCTTAAGACACTGACGCTTTATCTTATAACTTCTTATTTAACACTTATTAATTTTCTCTAATATTAATATTTAATTCTACAAAGATTGGCCAATTTTAAGTATATATGAAATGATTAAATAAATTTGCTTAATATTGAATTAGTGATTTACTAAACGTTTTTATATTAAAATTTTTTTTTACTTCTGAAATTCTGTTCTATATTTCGTATACGACTTTTGTTTTTATTATAAAAGGTACCTTTTTATACGTATAATCGATAAA